TGGCGTACATCTCACTTAATCCCTGCCTGCCCCAGCCAACCACCTACCCACCCACCCACTCCTCTTCCATCCCCCTCTCCACAATAAGGTGTAAGGAACCATCCCCTCCTCTTCCCCCTCGCCCTCTCCTCCCCTCCTCCCTCCTCCCCCCGAGGGCGAGAGAGGTGTACATCTATCTGCCTTAATCCCTGCTTGCCCCAGCCACCCACCTACCTACCCACCCACCCACCCACCCACTCCTCTTCCCTCCCACTTCTCACGAGAAGGTGGGAGGCCTGTTGGTCGAGAAACTTGTGAAACTGGAAGTCAGTTTCTCCCATCCACAACCTTCTGCACCGAGATGAACAAATGGAAAAGAAGTGTACGGGTAAAAAGTTCTAAAACAGAAAAGAAAAAAAAAGTTGAGAAACACCAGGACACTAATCACAACAGTGGAACATCTCCAGTTACGATTCCTACGATTTCAGGAAATGAGGAGAGAGCAGCTTTGTCATTCCAAACCCATTGAATGAGTCGCATTTCAACAGCCTCTTGAGCTTCTGATCGCACAGGATCTTCCTCTTATCGTTCGGATCCTGTTACAACAAACACATCATGAGATCAAAGCATCAGCAGAACAGGTCTGCAAAAGGCCTCCTTTTTTTTTTCTTTAACCATTGGTCTATTTATGCGTGTCATCCTTGCGCAGGGGCCATGCTAATCTTCTCTCTCTGTGTGTCGTTCCAATTTTAACGGATGTCCTGAAGGACAGGTCTGCAAAGGACTAAGCCATGATGGGCAACAGGTGAAGGAGGACAAAGGACTCCGGAACAATAAGCGTAAGGCCAAAACAGCAACGGCATTCAGATGTCGAAAACAATTCTCAATGTTTCATGACATATTCTGTATATTATATGTGGTGCATTCCAGTGAACACCACAACAACAATAAGCATAAGGTCAGGAAAACAACAACGGCATTCAGATGTCGAAAACAATTCTTATGACATATATATTCTCTATATATCGTCAAACAGAACTGCCTACGGGAAACCGTAGGCAGAGAGGGAGAGAGAGAGGGAGGGAGGGAGGGAGAAGAGGACAACAAACGAGGGGCTATATGTAGTGCATTCCGGTGAGTACCACCATAAGCCAGCAAGACACGACTACGTTCATGTCTGCAAACATGCCGAAAGAGCGCAAAACCCCTGTTCACGTGACTAATCCCATCAACCATTACTGATGATGTGCTAGTGTCAAACACTTGGCTAGGTTTGGGTAAACAAGAGCAAGCAGACAAAATTAAAAAATAAATCTTGTTCCTTATTTAAAAAAAAAAAAAAGAAGGGGAGCAAAGTTCAGCAAACTGAACAACCGCAAGCAGGAAGTCCGCTTATTGAGGTGAAAAAAATTATATTACTCTTTTACCTTTCAAGTTAACCGTCAGCATACACTCCATCTGCTGCATGTGTAAATGCTCAATCTGAATTATTCCAGTCCCACTGTGCTCCTTCGGTTGGAGTTTTCCTCCTCTTTTTTTGTTTTTTTGTTTGTTTTTTTAAATTTCTACATTTTTTAAATATATTTATTGCTTTTTCTTTTGGGGAGTTGGCCACTTCTTCATCGGTACCTGACATTAACCCTGGCTATGACCAACTCTTGTCGCTAACCAGGATGACAAACACCTCGGGCAATAGGGCTCACCTAAGCGACCTAACTCAAATTTTTCTCTTCTTCCTTGACGACCCAGACAGAGGAGTTCAGAAGAAGCCCACCGTTTGCCCTCGGCTCCCAAGGATGCC